TATATATGTATATGTATATAAAGGGAATAAAATTAAAAATTCAAACTGTCAGACATGAAAATTGCACAGTTGCTGAAGTTGGGTTTCAACGGACTCATTTAAACTGTTTAAGAAAATATAATTTCCCCTTGTGGTGAAATAAACTGCATCGTTCACAAATAGCCCAGGAGTGTCAAGCCTTGTGTGAGGTTGATGTTCAAAGCTGTCACTTAAACATTAAACAACAACATATGTAGCCATAACACTGTTCATAATTCTGGGGGCCTTGTCAGTCTTCCCCGGATTGGCAGCAGCCAGTGAGGTTGACACTTGAGACATCTCCCAGGTCATTCCCACCACAGTGGATGAGGAGGTCCTCCGGAACTGCTCTGGCTTATAGACACTGGATGACGAAAGGGAGATGGCTCGTCCACCTCAGACCACCTCAGCCGAATCAGTGGATGTAGATATCATCAACACCAAGGCTGTTCCCCATGGTTTCTATCATTCTCTCAGGCTCACATTGGACTTAGCTATCTTCAGTGATAGTGGCTAGATGGAAAAAAATCACTGCCATAGTGAGAAATGTACCATATTGTAGGCAAGAAAAATAACCAAAGAAACAACACTCTTATTAGGTGTTTCAGTTATCTAAAAATACACTATTCTGTCAGTTTAGATTTAAAAAAAAATAAAAAAAAAAACTTCTGTATTTTACGCTGAACAGCAATAGAAATTAACAAATACTCACATTTGTGGCTTTGTGTGGGTGCACATGAAATGATGCAGCACTCAGTATTGTTACCTTTTCTGTAAGAAAAAAGACAGAATCATTCCAACAGATGTTTTTGATAACTCTAGATAACCGTTGAACTGTAACATTAGTCTGTTTAGCTGGGAGAATATTGCATATTAATCAGTAACTGTTTTTTTGGTGTACCATTCACTGAGTTAAATAAGCTCAATTTCATCTGCTGGCTTCTGAGCCTTCAGCACACCAAGGCACCTAACATTACAGTTAACCACTGCATTATTGCAGTTATGCCAACCACACACTTTAACATTAACTTACACATGTTAACATTAACTTCAGCTAATGCTACTATAATGTTACAAGGTTAACATTGCTCCTCTGCTATGTAATATTTGCCAGATGTGGACATGTACGCAATTAGCTAAACTTACTAAGACAACTTAAATACTTGCCTCTAATGTTGACCTCGAATTATAGAAGCTAACTTTGTTAGTGGCAATTTAGCACAGCAAGGTTGGTGCAGTGTTCACTCAGGTTGCCAGTGTAGGTGGACGTGCTTAAAAATTGATATTTACGCACTTGTAGAAGAGATTGTTTTGTACTTGTAAAAGAGATTGTTTTGTATTTGTAGAATTTTTTTTTTTTTGACTTTGTAGAATATATATTTTTTTGTACTTGAAAGACATGCTGTGTTTATTTCTGAAGCATGATGTATTAGAAATATGCTGCGTATTTGGTTGATAGGTATGTTTTGTATTTGCAAAACAAAATCCATTAATTTGTTAATTATGTTTTAAATTTGCAAACCACATTGTATTTGTTAGTGGATCATAGGGCATTTGTAAAACACTATTATTTGTTTGTTTGTTTGTAAAAACGTGAAAAACATCTTGTTATAACAAGATTTTTTTTCATTGTTATTACCCGATACTGATCAGTTATTTTATTTTATTTATTTATTTATTTTTTGTTTGTTTTTTTCTGGCATGGCATCAGTTTGCCTTCGTAGGGGGTACAGGATAACCTTTTGCTTCATGGTCCAGTTTCTTTTGCTGTTGGTAATTTTTTGTGTCTTGGTGGGATAATGCCCTTTCATTTCAAGGTTTAGTTATGCAAGTTAATGTGGTGTGCTTGTTGACCATTTGAAATTTATGCATGCATGCTTTGCTGCTGATCCAACAATGTAAATTCTTTTCGTTTTTCTGTTGTTGTTGTTGTTGTTGTTGTTGTCATTGAGCAGTAGGTGAGATTGTTCCAAGCGACTCTCTGGATCTGCCAAACAAAGCCGCCATGTCGGTGACTGTTCATGAAAATCGCAAATCCCGAACTAGCACAGGCTCCATGAACATCTCACTGTTCCACAAGCCTTCACATCCTGACAGTGTCCTGACCCACCTGAACACATTGAGAAAACAGTGCATGTTTACTGATGTCACTCTGTGGGCAGGGGATCGCTCCTTCCCATGCCACAGGTAAACACATGCTTACAACATTTGTGCCTATTTACCATTCAACCGACAACTTTTCCCCACCACAACAGAGAGTAACAGCAACTAAGTTTTCTAGATAGACTTCTTACAATCCTTTTGTGCTTTTCTTTGTTTTCTTCATAACTTCTGGACCTGCAACTACTGACAAAATGCTGTGTTTGTGTCTTACAGGGCTGTCTTGGCAGCGTGCAGTTGTTATTTTGAGGCCATGTTCAGTGGAGGGCTACGAGAAAGTCTGGACAGTGATGTCAATTTCAGAGACAGTATACACCCTGAGGTACAACTACTTTTGCTGAGGAAAAGGATACCGTATTTTTATGCCTCTTCACCAGCGATAGCCGCGGCCAGAGGCATTTTGTTTTTGGGTTGTCCGTCTGTCTGTCCCATTCTCATGGAAGTGACATCTCAAGAGCACCTTGGGGGAATTTCTTTAAATTTGACACAAATGTAAACTTGGACTTAAGGATGAACTGATTAGAATTTGATGGTCAAAGGTCAAGATTACTGTGACCTCTCAAAACATGCTTTGTCCATTATTGGGAAATTTATCTGCTAATTATGACAAAATTTCACACAAGATAAAATGATTAAGTGATGACATTTTATATCTCAAAGGTCAGCTACACTGTGACATCATAAAGTTCTGCATAAAACACTTTTCTGGCTATTATTCAGTGTCATATCTCAGGAACAGAAGAGGAGACATTTAGTCAGATAAAGAATTTGTAACACTAATCTTGGGTGTCCACCTTGAAACTGTACTGATTGTATAGATCTTCTGTGCTGTCAGGGGGAATATGTGTGTGAAGCATCCATATTTTCACAGATATGGTTGTAAATTGTAAGAGAAACTTGAATGGTGCATGGAGGCATACAACTGCAGGGCAGTATTTTTTGTTTAAACTAGTCAGAAAGCCAACAAGACCTAACATTATGTGCATAAGTAAATATCCATCCCTTGTTCTAATATTAATACTAGTGACACCCAGCACTTCCATGTTTTGTAAATGAAGCAGTACACAGCCATGCTGATATACAGTATGTGTTAAGCTCTATGAAGCATCTATACAGATTGATGCTGCATCACCATGTTTTTCTTTGACTACAACTTATTGCGCCCCACTCATATCTCGGTTGGTGAAGGTAGTAAGGAGTAACTTGGCTATGTAATGTGGTTAGATAACTCCTTCTAAGAACAAAGTTGTTTGAGGCATGCAGAAGCCCTAGAATTAGTCATTGTGTCAGTTGTGCATGGTGTTATGTCAGTGGTTAATGCTAATTCCCTACTCTTCCAGGTCTTGGAGCTCCTGCTGGACTTTGCCTATTCTTCACGCATCATCATAAACGAGGAGAACGCAGAGTCATTGTTAGAGGCGGGTGACATGTTGCAGTTTCATGACATTCGGGACGCAGCAGCAGAGTTTTTAGAAAAAAACCTGCACTCATCAAACTGCCTGGGGATGATGCTGTTATCAGACGCTCATCAGTGTAAAAGACTGTACGAACTGTCATGGAGGATGTGTCTGCTACACTACGAGACGGTAAAGATGACTCAGTGTTTTCTGGCTTCCTGCACTAACCAAAGCCCCTTTCCCACTGCACAGAAAATCCCACTAATGTTAAATAGTTTATCTTAGCACAAAGCAGAGGTCATACAGAACAGCAGGAATTTAAACAGTCAACACTAATGACAATAATAAACCCTTAAACTATTATGTAATACATTTTCTTCCACACTTGATCCTGACTTTTTTATCGTTGCGATTATATTGTCAGTATCAATATGAGTAAATGGAAGTTTTTCATCTCCCTCTCCTCACTCATGTAGAGTTAGCAGCTGAAATATAGATGTATTTCAGAGAAGATCCATGTGAGGCTGATATTTGAATTCACAGGTTAAATGTACAATGCATGTAATCCAAGTGTTTGTCTGTCCTTTAGGTCAGAGAATCAGAAGATTTCTATAGCCTGTCTAAAGATAAATTGCTGGAGCTGATTCTCAGCGATGAGCTCGAAATAGAAGATGAACAGGTGAGTAAAGCTCTCTTTTCTTTATTTTCTTTTCTTTGATAACATTTCTAATGCTTTTTGACTAGATATCCTACAAGGCAGGTTCAGTGGATTCACCAGTTTCTATGCTCTATTTTTCTCCTTAATAATCTAATATAAGATGGCAATTATTCTTGAAAACTGGTAATCCATACCTACTCTTTGTGTTTCTAAATGCATTTAGTTCCCTCCATTATAGCAAAGAGTGGTGTGATCGCAACATATCAGCTAAATGCTTCTGTTGTGGCAGGTTGTGTTTAACTCTGTACTGCGGTGGGTCAGATATGACTTGGAGGGTCGGCGTCACCATTTACCAGACCTACTGAGGGGAATCAGGTTGGCACTTCTGCCGTCTGAGTGTCTGCTCGAGGCTGTAGCCTGTGAGGAGCTGGTTATGGCTGACAAGAGGAGCAGGTACGTTCTGTCAGGGAGCTTATAAATCCATATAAAGCTCTGGTGTCTGTCTTTCTTCTTTCAGCACACATTTTTCTTTCTAAGATTAGAAAATATAAAATTACTTATTTAAAATCCCAGGAAATGTTGCTTGTTCTTATACTGGTCTCAAGTAGTTATACATGTGTCTTTGTTTGTATACATAACGGCAGTCTTAATGGAAGTTGCTCCCCCAGCAGGAAGATACCACACTGCAAAAACTGCTTAGCAATGGCCTGAGGAATGTGAGAAAGAGCTCAAGACATCAACATGGCCTTTAAATTTCCTAGATTCCAATCTAATAGAGCATCAGTAGGACATGCTGGTACCTCAGAGGTCCTGTGTCCTAAACAGGTATATATATA